GTTTATAACATTTCGCTACAAGCCTCGCCTTGTACCGATCAACTTCACCATTTGCTGTGCGCTTGATCTTGTACACCCACTTGACCCCTATTGCCTTGTGATTTTGTGGAAGAGTTGTTAACTCCCAAGTGTCATTCTTTTGGATGGCGTGGATCTCCTCCTCCATTGCTGTTCGCCAACAATCTTCTTTTACGGCTTCTTGAAAAGTGAGAGGTTCATGATCAGCATATAAGCAGAAAAGATTTGACTCTTCGTCTTCTTCTATCTGCTCATAGATCTCCCTGAGGCTTCTCATTTTGATGGGACCTCGTTGCATGGTAGATTCGCTGCTACTACCTTCCCCAGAAGATGGAGATCCTCTTGCAGGAGAGGGTGTAGAGTGTGAAGGAGATGGTGGTGTACCTAGTGATGGTTCCTCATGCAGAGACTCATCGGGTTCATTCACCACTGGTTGATCTTCATTGCTCCAGTTCCATGCTTCTTCTTCATTAAAGACAACATCTCTACTAACAACTAGAGTTCCATGCTTCTTCTTCATTAAGACAACGTCTCTACTAACAACTAGTTTCTTGGTTAGTGGATTGTAGAGCTTGTATGCCTTCGACTCCTCGCTATATCCGATGAAAATGCATTTTTCACCGCGATTGTCAAGCTTCTTCCTTTTGACTTCAGGTACTTCAGCATATGCAACACAACCAAAAATTCGTAGGTGTGCCACACTAGGCGTGTAAACGCTCCATGCCTCTTGAGGTGTCTTGTTCTTCACTATCTTTGTGGGGCATCGGTTGAGCAAATAAGCTGAGCATGCCACGGTTTCTGCCCAGAACTGCTTTGGCAATCCGTACACATTGCGGATGAAGCTAGAACTTGGATCTTCAATTTGAATTGCATAGGCTTCAACCACTATTCCGCCAACCTCCATCTTATTGTTTGTCTACAATAAATAACAAAACACAAACACTAGACAAATAATATTAGATGTAAATTGTTTGTTAAATCATCATCAAAATAAAAAGGCCAACAGCCACCTCCATGACTCATTCTCCATGAGTCCTTGAAAACACTTGTCGACTTTCGTGTTTAGATGCAAGGGAAACATGCGGTTCCTTGTCATCTTAACACAAGCTATGAGGCCTCCATTTGTATTTTTCAACCAAAGATGGTTGTTCTCCATATATACTTTGTATCCCTTTCCGAGTAATTGACCGATGCTAAGAATATTACTTTTCATGTTAGGAATATAGTAAACATCGGAAATATACTCGGGCTTACCATCCTTTTGGTAGATCTTAATCTTCCCTTTGCCTTCAACCGGGAGTTTTGAAGAATCTCCGTGGCTCACACTTCCATGAACTCCTTCTGCGAGTTCCATGAAAAGTTCTTTCTTCCCGCACATGTGGTTGCTAGCACCCGAGTCAAGGTACCAAGCATCATTCTCAACACTTGAATCATCATTAGCAAGAAGAAGCGTAGAGTTGTTACCCACATCATTTGTTGCTTCGGCAAGATTGGTTTGGTCTTCAGTTTTGTGCCAACAATTTGAAGCATAGTGCCCAAACTTGTGACAGTTATAGCACTGAACATTCTTGTTGCTTCCACGCCCAGGTGTGGATCTTCCACGATTGCTTCGTCCTCGTCCTCTAAAGCTTTGGGTCTCCACTTGATTTTGAGTGGTTTGCTGTTGGGGACCACGTCCTCTGCCTCTACCACGACCACGACCACGACCTCTTGCTTGTGAGCCTTGATTACTTAGAGTCAATGTTGACTCTAGTACTTGCTCCAAAACTATGGAACTAGCCTTCTTTTGCATTCGTTGTTCATGAACTTGGAGAGATCCCAAGAGCTCCTCTATTGAGATATCCTCCAAATTCTTTGACTCCTCAATTGCCGCCACCACGTGCTCGAATTTTGATGTGAGGGATCGGAGCAACTTCTCCATCACTCGGATGTCCTCCATCTTCTCTCCATTTCTCCTTATTTTATTCACAATTAGAAGTAATCGTGAATAATAATCGGAGATTTGTTCTTCATCTTTCATTTGAGCGGCTTCAAGATCGCCCCTCAAAGTTTGGAGGCGAATTCGCTTCACCCGCTCGACACCTTTGTAGATGGTCGTAAGGATTTCCCATGCTTCCTTGCTTGTCGTTGCTTCGGCAACTCTCTCAAAGGTAGACTCGTCCAACCCTTGATAGAGTAGAAAACGAGCCTTGCTATCCTTCTTTCTTTGTTCTCTGAGAGCCTTCTTCTCTTTGGCGGTATAGGTGGCTTCTACTTCTGGTGTAGGTTCCGTGAACCCATCAATGATCAGCTCCCACAACTCTTGAGAACCAAATAAGGCTCTCATTTGGATTGACCAACTCTGATAGTTATCTTTCAATAATTTTGGCACTTGAGGATTGACAAGATTATTTGTGGTAGCCATGAGATGAAGAGAGAATGGGAAAATTGGATCAAGTGGCTCTGATACCACTGATGACTCTTAAGTTTACGAACTTAGAACTCTTTCAAATGAAGAACTCACTTATATTTCTTCAATTTTCTCTCTTCATATCAAACAAGGATTACAATAGCCCTTTATATAGGCTTCAAAAACAAAAACGTCTAGGCATACCAATAGTCACAAATTAAACTCCTATTTTAATGCCATAAAGATAAATGTCATAAATGAGTAAGTTACTCTTATTCTTCCATAACCTATGTCTCTTCACCTTCTAAACTTATGACCATTGCACTTCTAAAACTCATTTATTCTAGCATTTTAATTTGATATTCCAACAGTCTTATCAACCAAATTAGATGTAAGTTATAACAAATCTACAAATTAAAGAGCAATGTTAAGTGGCCTCATTAAGAATGCATGTGTTATGTGTAATCACATGGAGCATTGACAAAGAAGGTAATATCAATTTGAAGACGTATAGAAACTTTCATCTTTTAATATCGATAAATTAAGTACTTTTATTTAAATAAATGAGCACCATTTTATATTAACAAATTGAAAGACAAAGAAAATTACTGATAGGCACTAGCTATAAATATATAGAGAAAGCAATCACAATTCAAATCTTTTTTGCTAGCAATCAAGAGTATCCTATTTATCTACAACATGCATCTATGCCAAACAATTAAGGTATAAAAAAAGAATCTAAAAGAGTGAATACTCTTCTCTTTCAAACAGACTGATATATGATTGACTACATCATCAGAAAGTCTACGGAAGCATGACCAGATTACTATATTGTCACAGACCTCCAACATATAAATTATAAGTAAGTTAAATGATTAAGGGATATATTTGGTATCATTAACATTAGTCATGAAACAGTCTTAAATGAAATCCATTTGATTCTGGTAATTCTTCTCTTTAGTTAAACTTTAACATGAGGTTGGTAAGTAGTAAACTAGTGACCGCTGGATCCAAGTAATAAAACCAGACAAAGACAACCAACATGAGAAGGGAAAAAGCAATAGAAATGACAACAAACATGAAGGCCCCGAGAGTACTCTGTCATTGCCAGAGATGATAAGGCAACCCGTAGAGCGAAGGGAAAGGAAGGGTTAATGGAGGTA